GTGATGTTTCCATTTTAATTCTAGGAAAGCATCCTTCTATACTCATACAACTACAAGCTACACACATACACAAACTACTAGTTATTAAATCAGAAATTAAACTATCATATAGTCTTTGATAAAAGGATAATTTCATGTGCTAAGAACATTGATGATGCTGCAGAATTATACGTAGTAAGAGTCTCAAAACATAAGATATACAATAAAATTGGTTCTATACAGAAGCACTCACATGTTAAATACACACAAATATGCCCAAGAAATACATCTAACATAAATTACAAACTACAAAAAAATAACAATCAACAGATCCCAATTTATTGAATAATAATTTAAGCATGCTTAGAAAAGAAAAGAATCAAACCAGAAATCGACGACCTACTTTTTTTCCCAGTAAACGTGGCTAACAAAGGAATTATACAAAGGCTGTAGGATCCCACGACCAGCAGTGTCAATAAGGTAGCATCATAGTGCCTCTCTGAACCAGCCGGTGGGGTGAGGGTAGAATTGATAAAGATTTTTGAAGAAATATCAGTTTCTGTACAACTGCGAAATCCTCCTGGTACAGTCATTTAAAAGGATCAGAGCTAGCTTAGGCAGGAAAAGCTGCAGCCATGTTCACACCCATATCCCTCATGCTTGCTCTTAGTGAATTAGAATGGAGGGGAAAAAAAAAAATCTGTAAGCTCCAAGGCACTACACGGAACAGATTAAACCAGCTAGCAAATCAAACTAAGAAAGAGACTCCTTGATTTGAATGCTTAATCTGCAACGGGGACACATCGCCACTAGACAGGCTCTGTGGGTGTATGGTAAACCCTTTTGTTGAAAGACAAAAGGGAATGGACAAAAGCGTTTTACAACCTCCTTAGGAGGATCAGACACGGTACTGCATCCGTGGCCAAGTCAACATGGCTGTCGAAGGCACATGGGCGTCTGTGGCACCGCAGACTGTGTCTGCTTCAAGTGCCACAGATGCCATCGCTACAGCAGTCCTTCCAGAGAGTGTTGGTGATTCTGTTTTGGCAGTTTGTTTTTTAAACTGCATTGCATAAAGGAGAGCAGAGCGCTAGAGCGAAATGATCTTAAAATAATGCAAGTGTGAACTGCTCTTTCAAATTCACAGAGAAATCTGTTACGTGCAAACCCTTCTGATTTCGCGCCACAACTTCGAAATTCAAACAATAAGCAGACAGTAATCCTGTTTAGTTTTCAATAACATATCCCAGTATTCCTGAAGTACCAGCACGCAGCTGCTCACTATCGCACGAGACCAGCTACCGCT